GCTTTGGATGACGCACTCGACCGCTGGACCGCTCTCGTCGTAATATACGTAATTGACGCGAGCCGGGTCTCTTCTTTGGATTGATTACGGCGATCGGACAGCCAACGCTGTCGATTACGACTCGACGAGAAAATGTTAACCCGGCCGCCGCGCGCGCGCGCATTTTTATTTCGTTCTCCGATGGATGCGCGCGTTAGTCGTGTTTCCGAGAGCGGACGAAACACGCGCGGCGTTACGCTTCACGGGCGATCCGACGCGTCGCGTTGTTGGGAACGAACGTACACACACACACACACACGTGAACCAGTTTACGTAACGGCCGGGGAAATGACTGGATACGAGCGCGTTATTTCAGAGTATAATCCCGCACGCGGGAAGGTCGAATCGCATTTCAAAACTGTTTTACTTTTAAAACGAACGAAATTACGTCACGCCGCGAATAACGCTCTGCAAAATTCAATGTCCACGATATAGAGCGCGGCGCGTCGCGGCGCGTCGCGTCGCGTCGCGTCGCGGGCCGCGCACAAGCACTGTAGAATATAAACCCGTTTCCTCCCGTTTCTTTTTTAGCGCTTTTTGGCTCTACAAGACCGGTTCTCGCCGGATCGACAGATGGCACGATATCCCGTCTGCGGCTCTTTTTTGCCAGGCGAGCGAGAGCGGTATAATTTCAGCGTAGCGTAATAACTTAAAAGTTTTATGCCGCTTCCACTATTACGTAAGCGCAATTATCGTGGAACCGCAAGAATTTCCTCTCTCTCTCTCTCTCTCTCTCTCTCTCTCAAATTCCTCTTTTACATTTCAAACTGAAATTTACAAAATCATCAGGAGAACAGGCAAGAGAACGAGCGCGTCATGAGCGCGGCGCGGCGGCTGAGAGAGAGATAAAGTTTTTAAACTAGTCGGAAGCTGGGTCGAGAAAAAATAGTCAACAAGGGTGACCCGAGATCCCGCGAGCGTTAAAATATCGAGACGCTCGCGAGTCGCCGCATTTTACAGTCATTAACGGGACGTGGAAGCTTTTTGCGCGGCCTGGCAAAGTTAGCGTAGCGCCGCCGCCGCCGCCGCCGCCGATGCTACAATCTTCCTCCATTTTGCGCGTAATTCTTGCAGTCAACATCGCAATAGATTCCCTCTTATCGCGCGCCGTCATAACGAGCAAGGGTGAAGTGAGAGCGAATTTCGGTGCGCGCGCGCGCGCGCGCGAGGTGAGAGGGAATAAAAGCTAAGTACGCGCGGTATTGAATATGCTCGCGGCGATGTTGCAGAGTGTCGAATCGATGCAAACGCGAGGAGAGACCGGCCAAGTTATGCTCGCGTTCCCTCTCTCTCTCTCTCTCTCGCTCGCTCTTCTCTTCGCGTCTACCCCGCGGGAATTAATCTAGCTTTTGCCCAGAGATACTATCCGCGCCTAGGGAGGAACGATAAGACATGGGAAACGGCGATAGCCACTCTCCTTTATTTCCCAGTCGAAAAATGAGCCTTTATTTCATCGGCGAAATGCGAGGAGAGTCGCGTTTCTGGCAGCTAAACGGCGCGAGAAACGAGACGGAGTCTCCATAGGAGACTCCGGCGACAGCCCCGGCAGACAGTCGCGGTCCGGTGTACCTAACGCAATGGTTCATCGCTAATATTTCTTCGGGGTAATATCGGCGCGGTTCTTGAGAACGCCCGGCTTTCGCCACGGCTACGGTACGCGCTAATACCGCGGCAACTCTTAACAACGTCTCGCGTCGTTCGGATCCCGGAACACGGCAATGTGGCTCTCCGCTCCGCGCATTCCGGACATTTTCAATCTTCACACGCCGCCGCCGGACTTGCCATCCGGTCCGTCGTCGAAAATTAACAGGGAAGCGAGGGAGCCTATTTCCTCGCGTATTTTCCTCAGAGTGGAATATCCCAAACTGATCTCCGCCGGTTGTCTCGAGAGAGACAGTTGTCAATATTATATCCGAGATTAAAGGAGGATCAGGGAGAGATTGCAACAGGAAGATCCCGCTTTCCTCGTAGCTGAGACTGCGATTTACCCGGATCAGCAGCGATCACAACTCGATTCTTCGGATATTCGCGCGCGCGCGCGCGCGCGACTTGACGAAACGACACGGTTTCGCGAGACAAGGCGAGAAATCCGACACTCCGAATCCGCTCGCGGGCGCGGATCCGGCCCGCTTCTGTACTCCGACGCCTTGTATTGTATAAATGCCTGCATGCGCACGCGGACGCATGCGTCGCTTCATTCGTTCATTCAGCGCGATTATAAACGTAACGAGCGCGGGGGGCATTATCGAGGAGGAATGTACGGGACGGGACGGAGAAAGGCAAAGAAACGGCCAAAGTTCGACGGACAACGCCGGCCTTTCAGGCACTAGCCGCGACATTAATAGCTTCCAGAATTAAATACGGACGGCTCTGTGCTCTTGCGCGCCACGACGACTCGTGTGCACTCGTGTGCGCACAAAGCGCGTGTGTACATTTCTCCCTGGTATCGCGTGGGGCTCTGTGTGGGGCTGCGCGAAAACGAATCGACCGTGAGCGCACCTCGAAACGAGAATATCGCCAGGCGATATGGCGGCCAGCCGCTCCCTGCGGACGTTATCTTTTTTTGCCACCTGCTATCTAATCGCGCATTCCTCGCGTGCGCGCGTGCGCGTATTTTCGCGTGTGTCCGGGTCGAAAAAGTGACGGGCAGCGGCCGCTTCGTGCGCGCACAAGCGCACCAAGCGACCGCCTACTGCAAGTAGTAATAATGAGAGAGCGCGCGCGACTAATTTCGCGACGAGGTTCTGTTTCACGGAAACGAAGTGAAAAATGTCATTACGGAGGAGGGCTGGGCGTCCCCCAAAGAGGATCTGATTTCGAGGTGGAATCGCGCGGAAAAACAAAAGATGAAATATCGCTGCTGTCGAATGATTAATGAGGCATTTCGAGTGTTTGGTCGGCTGCAACGATGACGTAGCAATGAACAACAACAACGAGAGAGAGTCCCATTTCCGTAATTTGCACAAGTGTACGGATCAGCTGACTGTTAATTTGGGGCGTAATCAAGATTAACGGCGACTGACGTCGAGCACGAAACGCGTTCAAACGCGCGCGACTCCCCCGATACGATTTCATCGTTTCTGAGAAAAATGTCGCGTCAGCAGCCGGCGGTACGAAGCAAGTGGCTTTCGCACAAATCCCCGCGAAATGTTCCAACGATTGCATCAACGTTTCGACAAGGCGAGACCTCGACAACGACCGATAATCAATAATCGATAACACATCGCTCATCGATGACGAGGCCCAACACAGTCAATGTTGGAACGCGCGTCGTATTCGTCGTATCGCGCGGCCATGAAGAAAAGTTTACACATTATGCCGCATCTAGCGCTATTTCCAGGTGGATAGTCCGTACTCGTACAATTCGAGATTAGCACGAAACAGAAGATAACGACGCGGAGCCGATCGCGAAAGGATATATCGACGAACAACGCACGTCGCCATACATATTCGCAATGACACTGCCGCGCCTTTGCGCGCGTATAAAAGCGCGCACACGTTTCTCCTCGTTTTATCTAATCGCGAGCGTGCGTGTATAGGTGTAATCAGACAATACGGCACCATCGACGACGACGACGACGACGACGGCGGCGGCGGCGGCGGCGGCGACGTCGTTGGCGTCGGCGTCGGCGTCGGCGTCGGCGTCGACGACGGCGCGCGGACGTCGTTTCGAGAGTCTGCAATTTTTACATAATGTTCGCCGTTCTCCCACCCGCTCGCGACCCCGTCTGATTTATCGTCGATGTCGATTGGTATTCTCGCTCCCCGCGCGTTGAATAATTGTCGCTATTAATAACTGCGAATTCAATTCTCCGCGAATTCAATATCTCGCAAAGGCGAGACGCTCGGAAGATGGCCGCGCCTCGTTCTCACCCTCTTGCCCGCGCTCGCTCGTTTGTTCGTTCGTTTAATCGCGCCCTGCCTCGGCGCGCGCTTACGTCGGCCGATGGAATATTCGAAAATCCATAAACCGGCGTCCCTCCGAGCGTCGATAGTGCGCGCCCGATCGCGGCGATAGGAGACTTATTACCCGTCGTAAATTACAACCGGTTCCTTATCTCGCCGCGTGACGTTACAAATTATCGGCTTTGTATCGGAAAGATCAGCAGTCGCGGCGGAGCGCGCGCGAGATCGATCGGCGATCCCACGCACGCACGCACGCACGCACGCACGCACGCACGCACGCATGCACGTACGCTTGTGCGCGTGCTCATTTGGACCGATTGTGTGCAGCGAGAGAGCCAAGAAGAAAAGAGAGAGCCGCGCCCGGCGAATAATTCTGCAGCGCGACTGCAAAGAAACTGCTCCTTGCAGCGTCGGGAGAACTAATCTGCGAGGCTTTAGCCGATGTCCGTACACAACGCGATGTCTACCCGCCTCTCTCTCTCTCTCTCTCTCTCTCTCTCTCCTCTCTCGTCTTACAGCACGCTCGTTTTAATGGCACGCGGGAGATCAAAAGCGCGCTCTGCACTCTTTTATAGCTGTCTTTCGCGGCGTCAGAAGCGTTCCTACGCTCGACGCCGTGCAAGACGAGAAGAGCAGACGCGACTACGTAGTCATTATTACATCGAGACAGCGCGCTAACGCGCGCGCGCGCCTTGCTTCGTCGCAAAGCGCGAAGCTCGCCGAAGCGAGAAGATAACGCTAAAGAGCGCGTCGCGACTTCACTTATCCGACAGAATCGTGAGACTGCCGAGTCGTTTGGAGAACTCGATGACGGACACACGAGTAAGCCGGTCTTACTTGTTAGTCGGGATTAATAAAGGCGCGACTACCGTCGCGCGTGTCTTCGCGCGCGCATCGTAGGTAGATGCGGGTCCTTGCTCGATTTCCCGAAGGTGTTGGATAAGTGAAGACGAAGTTGATCGGGCGGCCGCCCATCGAGAGCGGCGGCGATTTCGCTACGCGCGAACGCGCTCGTTACGCGACTACGAAAACTCGATTATGCAACGGTTCGTTACCTTGATACTGTCGTAGCAGGCGGTGACCCGTCCGTTCTGCACCTCGACGTTAGCTGGTGGATGGGCGAACTTGCACTCCGTGTCGGGCCTGCTGCACTTGTTGCGCTGGAACTCCCTGCAAACCTCTAGCTGCAGCCACCGCGAGTCCTTGCCGTTCAGTAGGTTATTCATGTTGACCATTGCCATTCTTCCACTGCTGGAAGACCGAGTATCCCCGTCGCTGGCCTCTACGAGAGTAGTCCGACTCTACCACCACCGACTTATACCGATACTCCTCTTTCCTTCCTCTTTCCCTCAAGCACTCTCTCTCTCTCTCTCTCTCCCTCTCTCTCTCTCTCTCTCTCTCTCTCTCTCTCTCTCCTCCTTCCTAAACCTTCGTTTCCTCGTGGTCTCGAGGTCTCCTTCCCTCCGGCCGCGTGTTCACTCGCGTCGCGATCGAACTGAACTTTGTCAAAGATATATACACGTTTCGATTTATCAAGTACGCGACCACCTCGCGCGACGGCTCGTCG